CTGTATCTAACATTAGAGCATCCTTGACCACCACAATCTCCGCAGACTACAGCACACATTTTCCTGGCCTGCCCCCCTAAACCTCTGACTGCTTATGATGAATCGAAGCACCAGTAAGAGACCAATGAATGAGTGAGCAGTGGGTTAATCCTTTGAATGACTCATTAAACCTTCTGTGTCATGTTGAAGCCAGAAAGACATTGATCTCCAGTCCACTACTATCTATAAATATTCTTAGAAATGGAATTTTTCTTTAAGAGTAAAGATCGATGACAACTTTCAATTTTGAATTAGTTAAGGGTTCATGAAGTTGCAACACTGTAATAAGAGATGCTGAAGTAATTTAAAGTTTACAGTTTGTGAAGCACTGAAATGAGAACGCCTTAAGATGCATGGAATGTCTCAAAACAACATTTCTATGCATTCTACAGTATAACAGAAGGTGGTACTCTCTACTTCAAGTTTTGAAATATTACCCATGTGCTTTTAAATAGTCATTACCATTCTCTTGATAGGGAAGAAAATGCAAATTGCATCGTCTCAGTGAAGACTGCCACATCCCAAAACATCTCATCATTCTACTTTCACACAAAACGTCTTCATGTTAAAATTAACAAGGTCATTCATATGATTTGTTTTTAATCAGACTTTTTCAGGCACAATCTCACTCGGCAGTAACAAATGATATAACGGCCATAAAAGAAACTGTCTATTAAATATAATACTGCTCCCAAAGTAATAAAAACAAAAGTATGTTCTTATTTATAACTTTTTATACCACTATGGCCTTAGTGAACAAAGACTGCCTCACAGTTGCACTATACAACCACTCTGCTTGTCCCCAGCAGCTTAAGAAGTGTATAATGAGTAGTTAACTGTCCTGCACATGGACCTAAAAGGCAGATGTGGCTTGCAGAGCTGTTCTGCTTATCTTGAGGTTAGGGGCTTTTTAGACATTAACAGTATAAAATAGTACCTACTAGCAAAAATGCCTTCCGCTGGACATTTCAGCACACAGTCAACTAAACAGTAATTATAAGGTCAGAGCATGAATCACAGGAACCACCTCTATTTCCCTAGAGAGGGTTAGGGAAAAAAAAAAAAAAAAAAAAAAAACAGAAGGGAAAGGTTGATGTGAAGAAGATGTGACATATTAAATGATCATCACTTCAACATCCTTGGTAGCATCTACCCATTTTTACAAACCTTTTCAACTCACCAGACACTGGCAAAGTCTCAATTGGGAAGCTTTCCTCCCACCAATGTCGGAGAAATAAATGCATAAACTATTTTGAAAGAAAACTCTCCAGAAGTGATTTTGTTAGAGCATATATTCTAAAAAGAAGAGAGTAAAGTTTACAAGAAGAAAAACAATTGATCAGTAAGTGAAAGGCACTTACTGAGGGAAGACCATTGGAGTGCATCTGCAAAACTCAGCAGATACTTTCAGCTCACTGACTTCTTTGGGTCCCCTACATTTTATATCAGTTAGTTTCTACTTTCCAGTTTTCTCTCAAGGATTGGCCCTCAGCCTTCCCAGGCAAGCCAGTCAACCAGGAAGGTATAATTTCAGTGACATGTTAATCTTTGGTCCCAACAATGGAGTTGGATCATTCCCAACTGTCTTGGGATAATAAAAACAAACAGGAGGATTAACTTTAAATAAAAACAAAGAAGAGATAAAAGCTGAGACTTGGGTGGATTAAACATCTTTGTAATTCAGGTTGCAACTATAGTTGAGCTCATGAGGACAGGGGTGGAGGATTCCAGTTCTCATGCTTAGCAGTAATTCCAAAATTCCTTTGAGTAAACTAAACAGTAGAGTCTGAACCTGGATAGGCAAAGTGGTTACTCACATGCAGATAACTCACAAGAAAGACTAGGAGAAAAGTACTGGAGAGGTGCACAGAAGGAAAAATGTAGTATGCATAACTATATATACATAATTATAAATGAGTGCATGGGTATATTGTGTGCAATATGTACACGACACAGAGGGATATACCTGACTGCTATCCAAGAGGCCAAGAAGTAGTCACACTGGGGAGCAGAATGGAAAATGAACTGATTATATAACAACTACACTAAAATTCTTATTTGGCAGTTTATTTCTGGATCCAATTAAGACCTTAGGACACAGCAATACAGGTCCCATCAGAACCCAGATGCTGTTCAGCACAACACCCACTTAGCACAGGGAGATCCAGACATTTAAGCAACTATGGCAACTATAGTTTGGAATGCCAGCCAACCACAAATTCCATAACAGGGCTATAAATGCATCCATTCACTCACTCTCATTAAGTGAACAGTCAGGCTTTGAACAATGCAATTGATTAACATATTCATTGTTCCCTTATACATTTACCTCAAATTTCACCTTCTTTAGGAATCAAAGATACTGAATACTTCACAAATAAATGCTCCTGTGAAATCACCATTGTAAAATGCAGTGACACCATGCAGAATTAATTTTTTTACTATTTCAAGGGAGCAACAAAAATGCTAAGAAAGCAAATCTATGAACCAGTTTTATTTTATTTGCATTTAACATGATTATACACATTCATGTGTCTAACAAGATCTGCACTGTTACATTAAAAATACAGTACAATAACATTCAACATGAGGTACTTCATATTTATATATTTTCCTTCATAAATAATGCTGTAAGCTGCTAAAGTCAAGCACACTGACGCACAGTTGCCTACAGTGTACTGAATTAGCGGAGCTTATTTAAACACCTTAAAAAAAAAAAAAGACAGTTCAGTGCAATAATTATGTAGAAATGAGACCATTTACTTAAATACTATCTTACGATATGATTAAAGGATGTTGCATTAGAACTGCTAGCCTAGTTACCCTTATCCCCAGTATGAACAATGATGAAGACTGCAAGGTATGCTGGGAAAAGCATCTACAGCGTTTTCTGCTTAATAAAGTTGTGTTTATACACTACAGCTGCCAGCCCTGTCAGAACAATGGTTTCTATTCTTACAAACTACAAAGTTCAAAATTATCAAAGAAAACCAAAGCAAGCGCATTCTCTTTCATTTTGCTGAAAATGCAGATAAGAGAATAGGTTCAGAACATAAAATTTCTTGTTTTAGGTACAGCTTTCCAATCTTATCCACAGTTCTTGGCAAAGGCCAATCAAAAAGTGGATGTGTCTTTTTTGGAAACATAATAATAATTAGTATAAAGTCATGTTCTCCCGTCCTCAGTGAAGTACACTTGCCTAGCCACTGTGGGGGCAGCTAAGTCACAGTAATCGTGAGGTGGGGGCGGATGCTGCCCCTTGAAGGTTATCACACCCAGCCCGACTACCTGACAGGACTCAATCAGTGCTAAATAAAATTCCTTCTCCTCTGGCTCAAAAGTAAGTGCCTTCTGGTCAGGCTTACCAATCTGTATGGTAGCTATGAGTTACTGAAATGTTTAACCACAATTTTAAAACAAAAGCCTTTGTAGAAGTAATTTTAATTGACAATGTGCCTTTATTTTATTGATGTTTTGCCAAAACTACAACCTGTCATTTCTGCTATTATGAAGCAACTGAGGGATTATTTTGTAAAGTTGTTCTATAGTCATGAATAACAGCTTTTGGTCATCCTAATGCTAACAGATGTAAGTAATGGCAAAATGATTAAAACATTTCCCATAATCCAGTGCTCTCCTCCACCAGGGATGCTGGCCAATGGCCGCAAGCCCTTATCTGTAGGGGAAGAAGTGGCCCAGGAGCACAGTGAGTGAGAGAAAGCAGTCACTTATTGGGCCTTGCTGGCACCAGCAGGGGGGTGGGAGGCATTTCTGACACACCCACCACTAGCCAGGCAGGGAGGAGGCACTTCCTGAGTTGGCAAGCACACTTTCATGCGCATATTGCGCAGACAGACACACACACCCCAGGACTAGCCCCTGCTCCAGGGAAGCCATCTTACTTTGGCTTATAGAGCAGGAGAAGGAGGCGGCCAGGGACCACACTCTGGGTGGCGGAGAGCCATCTCAGGATCACACTGAGCAGAAAAGCTGCCCAGAAACAAATGGACATTTCAGTTTCAAGTGACCACACTGGACATTACCAGGGTCACAGGCACTAAGCCAGCACAAGCCATCATGGAAGGAGAAGTTGTCTGTGAGCTTTTCCCTCTTTGCTTATGTTACCATGGAGAAGTAAGAGCTGCATGTGATGCTGATGAGGTGAATACTCGGTATAACCCAGTGTCACTCCGAACCATTTTTCAAAAACCCTGCAGGCATATATTGGCACTTTAAGATGGCCAGAGGCCAGATTCTAGCAGTCCAGAAACTTGTTCATAATCAACAAATAAGATCGTCTATGGTCAAAGAGCAGATAAAGAATGTTTCAATTTAAAAACAAAATCATAAAAAGTACTTTATCACATTGACAAGTAGTGCTACCATTACTCCACAACTCCACTGCTTGGTCCTCTTCTAACAGGGGTGAGAGGGGAGAAACTTGAGTCCTATACAGTAAGACTTAAGAACAAGCCAACAGAATGAGACAGAGAAGGAGACAGACAAAGGTGCGCAGGGGAGGGGGGGAGAGAAAAATATGTGTGTGTGTGTGTGTGTGTGTGTGTGTGTGTGTGTGTGTGTGTTGAGGAATGTCCAAAACTACCAGGCAAGAGTGGCTTTTCCAAACTGTGCAAGCTTCTCACTGATAAAGTGAACTATTCGTTTTATGGGGTATTTCCAGGCTTCCCTTTTAACTGTAGTATGAATTATCAGGTTTGCAACTTCTTTTCTATTGACAATAACATTTTCTAATTTTATCCATCCTGAAAGAAGTCTCTGCACTCTGGTATCTTGTCTTTTCTAGACTAATAGAATCTTAAGTTTGCTTTGAAGCATAAGTCACTGCCTAAACAAACATCCAATTCCTTACACCAATAGTGTGAACTGTTCAGTATGAAACACAAGGATGAACTTAAGATACAAAGAACATAAAAGCAAGGCCCAGAAGCAACAGATATAAATAAAGAGCGTCAACCATGACCACTGGCCCACTGTTTACTTTCCAAGTTTGTTACAAAGCAAATATTCTTTCAAAATCGTACACTGAGGTTTACCTGTTTTTTGTTTTGTTTTTGTTTTCATTTATTCTTTTTGAGAGGAAGGGAGGGGTTCCGTTTAAAAATAACTTGATGATATTACTTTAGAATACGTATTTCCATTCGTCAAAGGAAATTCAAGTCGATCCAAAATCTTCTTCAGAGGTACAAAAGTGGGAGGTTGGTGGGCACTTGAAAAAGCACATGATCTCCCTAGGCATACAGACGCAACTCTAAAACCACAAAGCCTGAGTAAAGAACTTGGCTCTTCTAAGCATATAGTTAAAAGCGGAATGTTGCATTTTAGCCTGTACATAATTAAAAGGTTCAAAGACATTAGAAACTGCCTACCGCTTCATTCATTACAAATTACCTGTGCTGACCACATATTGGAGACGAACTAAGCGTCAGGCAAGGAGGGCCCATGTGGATGCCTCATGATGTGTAAGGAAAGCAAGGTTCAAGCATAGAATATGAGTTCAGGGATCTGCCCCCCCTGTACGCCAGTGCCGTTGGTGCTGTCTGAGGAGCACTGAAACTGGACAGTCACCTTGCCACATTGAACTTCCGTCATGCCTTCTTGTCCGAAGTAGCTGAGTTCATTGCCATCCAGCACGACACTGGCTGTGTAGAAGGTATCTGGCTCAATCTGCACCGGATATTCAAACCACACAGGGAAGGTATTGCTGGATCCATCTGAGAAGTACTTGCTCAAGTTCTGGCCCAAGACAACGCCCTGCCGTTTGAGTTCAATCTTGGCGCTGTACTCTGCAGAGCCACAACTAGAACCATACAGCCCAAAGCCTGCGATGAATACCCTCTTATCAACTGCAAACTGGATGCTGTCACAGCGACCCCGGTAGCGCCACTGGTTGCTCCGATAGGCACATGACTGGAATCGGTGACAACGCTGGGGGACCAGGCCCTTTCGGGCTTTACTCACGAACTGCAACTCCGGCTTTTTGGATGCAGTGTACCAGAGGAAGATGTCATTGGTCTCGTTGAGAGTTAATACACCGGACTGCGCAGCACCATTTGCAAAGTCATCCAGGGCCATGGTGGGGATGCGGATCAAGTACAGGGCCTTTCCTAGGACCTTGCGTTTATTTTCAATGCTCAAGGCCAGATCCTGCCGCTGGCATTCTACTTCAGCCCAGTTTAGGGCTGCCTCAAAAACCACTATTTCTTTGGCATTCAGCGTTTCCCTGCGGAGGATACTTTCGAGTGTCTGGAAGTCGATGTCGCAGAATCCCTCGGACTTCAGTGCTAACTCAGCTTGAGCGTCGATCACTTCCCAGCAACGCTGTGTCAGGTCTGGCTCCTCAAACAGGCAGCTCTGAGACAGGAGTACACAGGCATTCTTGGCGCTCAGGCTCGTCTCCAGGAAATTAACGCAGGCTCTGGCAAGGTGAGGAACTATGTACTTTTTGGCAGCATACAGTGTGGCCAGCACTGTGTCCGCAGCCAAGTCAATTTCATCACAATAGATGTATCTGAAAGAAAGCATCCAACATGTAAGCGGATTTCCACAAAATGAGCATGTGCAGCAAGGAAGGAAGCCACTGCCTTCAAGCTTGTCCAAGAATATAAAGTCACGTGACAGTTATTACAAACACATTAGGAAAACATCTGAAATACATTCACAAGGCATTGACATTTCAGCTCGGTAGGAAGCTTATATAATTAAAGAGATTAACTTTATGTTATTATTCATCCTCTATCCTGTACATTTTCAACAAAACAGGAGATATGGCAATTACCTAAAAGATGACTGTGTATCAGAGATAAGATTAAGAAGTCACAGCAAAATTCTATTATACTTTACTAAGTTAAAGCACTGTCATTCCCAATCCCACTGTTTAAAAGAATATTTATTATATATTTGTGTGTGTGCACGTGTGTATGTTGCATGCTTGTGCACCTGGATGCTCGTGGAGACCAGAAGAGGGCACTGGATCCCCTAGAACTGGAGTTACAGGCACTTGTGAGCTATCTGATAGGGGTGTAGGACCTGAACTCTGGTCCTCTGCAAGAGCAGCTCTCGACTTCTGAGCTTCTCCTCAGCTCCACCACTGTTTAAAGTACAGCAACAGGTTTAATCCAATTATTTTCTGCACATTCAAATAAAAACAAATGTCTTTTGACACTGAGGTTAAAAACTATATTTTAATGATTATGGACTTTTCTAAAATGTAAAATGAAACCTGATATTAAATATTTCTGAAGTGCTTCCAAGTTCAATAAATTCAAACTACAATATTACCTTTTCAGTTAATGTCACAGATTATTTTGAGTTTTAAATCTCTAAACTTATGGGTCCCCACACCTATTCCTCCTACTCTCAGCACTAAGGAGTACATTATTTTCTCATGCATCTATTAAAAGACAAAGCAAAGAGCTTAAATGTACATTGATTCTGTATTTCAGTGAGCTGTAACTATCTTAAGAGATGAAATACCTCTTGATGTTTGGGGGATGGGGATGGTGGCAATTTCTCAAAACAGTATGTAAAGGTGGAAACCACCTGCTATCTTACATTCCAGGACAAAAGGACAGTCAGTAAGAACTCTACCAGTGAACAACACTGAGAAAATTTACTCTGACAAGTTTTCCACCTAATATATAGACTACTTTATCTGATTTTTTTTTAACAGTTATTTTGTTTCATGTTTGTAAGGCATACCTAAGTTAAGAAATCGAGACTAGCTTTTACAAGAAAAAAATATAAACATCCATATATATACACAAGCCAGCGTTTCCACAGTCACACACAGAAGGGCCTTTTTTGCTTCCAGGAAACTCTTTTCTAATAGGCTAAGCCGGTTACACTGGCGAGACCACTCAGCAACACAGCTGTAGTACAGCTGCACTTTGCCCAGAGGCTAGGTCTAGGGAAGCATCCAGAACATGGGCTCGATTTGTAGTCTTACTCTGGAACTCACGGGAGCTACCACTCCTTTTGTAAACGTACAGCTACTCACCTAGGACGCAGGAGGAGGAAACTCAGTTACAGTCTCAACTACAGCATAGCAGCAAGGCAAATGGAACCTCACTGCAGTTCTATTCATACTGTTCCACTTGAGTCCATGGATAATAACACTAATTAAAAAAAAAACTGTACTAGTATGACCTAGGCAATACATTTATGGGAGAAGATACTTGGCAAATGATAAATCAAATGACTTGGGGAGGATGTAACTTCTGCCATCCTTGCTCATGGTTCCTGACTATGCACACATCTGGGATAAAACACTTTACTTGACTCCAGTGAGGCCCAAATGTTAGCCAGGGCAGCACTCCACTCAACAGCGGATATAGCACTGTCACATCCATAGAGCTGACTTCACAAGCAGTGATGAAGGAAGGAGAAGGACCCAAGCAGGTGAAAGGGGTTTCTGGATGACTGTATCTAATGGACCCGGAAGGTTAAAACTCAAGGAAGCAGATAATGTTACGGTACTTCACATGCTCACTTGCCTTTAATCTCCCTGCTTCCCACTGTCAAAGTTCCAGTTCAATCAGATTTCAAAGCTATAACAGGAACAAGGAGTTAAATACTTACACACTCTAGAGGTGGCTATAACTTCTTTTTCAGTAAGCAGTAAATAATAATCGTTTCAACAGTTTGTGAGAGTAGTGTCAAATTGGTTGATCCACTGGGCAATTTTTCTCCAAAAACTTTTTTAAAAAATGTATTCCAGGGAACTTAAACCCCCAGAGCAACAGATAACCTTGAACTCATACGTTAGTGTGTTGAAAATACAATTTAAGAAAACCCGTATAAATACAACTTACAATAACTGGGCTCAATCACACGGTGGACTACCCCATTGCCCAGCATCAGACATTGGTAAAAGTGACTCTTGGGACCTGATTAACATGCAACAGAGTCTGCAAAGGACCTACAAGACATGACACTTTTTACGTAAGTATGTAACTAGCCTAATCTCTTTTATAGTTCTACGTTGCTAAATGACAAATGCTTGCATAAATCTGTAGTAAACTACCATTCAAAAATCTCTTCATCACCATAAGCATGTGCGATTTTGTATGTAAAAACTGTGTGGGCAAAGATCAGATAATAAGCTCCACTTCTGGCAGCACAAGGCAACTCAGAAGACACACGTCTCCTCTGTGTTGCTAACTAAACAATGTACATAATTTCGACAACTGAGTGTATTTCTCTGAAGCCACACTCTGCTTTCAGGAGGAGAACATGCCTATTAAAGAACGCTTATAGCAGAGGGCTTTTATTCTTCTAAAATGTCCTTAAAAAGCAGCTCACTGCATATGCTGTATGCCCCTAGGCTCTAGGCTAAGACGTGACTCTAAGTGCCTGCAACATTCCATATGACTTCCATGGGAAATTGAAGAGCAGTTTCCTCCAAAACCATTCACAAGGCAAGCAGCACCCTCTCTCTTTAGAATCTCCTCTTACACAGAACTCACACCTGACTCGGAAGCCAGCAGAGCACAACCACAGCCAGCACAAGCAAACTCTTTCCGAACACACAAATAATGCTTACTTCAGCATGGCGAGGAAAGCAGCAGGTTCGACGTCTGGTATTCGGATTTCATCTTTGTCCTCAGCAAGTTCTCCATAAAACATTGCATGGAACACTGAGCTCCCAACAGCTAAGACGTACTGTGGAGAAAGGGAAATCTCATTTCACGCACTAAACTGAAATATTTTCAGAAAGTCAATCCCGAAAAACAACTAGCAAGCCAGAGGTAGGGGCATGTAAAGGACCTAACCCGTGTCTTCGAAACAACAGGGTACAGTGTATCCTGACAGAGGAGCTCAAGATTGTCACACACGACATGATCTGTATCAGTCTCTCAAAACTTTGACATTAATGTTACCCCTCATGTGAAATAAGTAAAACCAGTGCTTATTAATCTGATTGCTATAGGAACAGTAAACAGAGGACTTTCCAAACCTTTTAACAACAACACTTGTAATCATTAGAGAGCGAAGAGGGCATGTTTCTGTGTGATATAGTCAACCGTGTAGATGAAAACAAAGACAAAATTAACTGTGGCCAGAGCCCTTGGAAAGGGTCTGCTTTCTCTGTAATCTGGTGAAACATGCACTGCCTGCCATCGGCAAGCTGCCTATACCAAGCTCCGGGCTGAGAGGGTCCCTCTACATAAATCTCAAGACTAAAAGGGTAATGCAGCTGTTGCTTACTTTGTGTCCTGGCAACCGCTGAGTCCCACCTGGTGGCCCAACCACAAAATGTACATCTGCCATCAAGTCATTATTGAACATCACCGCATTTCTACAAACAGAGGCAATTCATTAATTCACAGCAGCCTGCATTCTTCCCATCCCTTTCCCCAACATGCAAAGCTTAAAGGAGCTACTCAAGCTCAGCAACAACAGATCAGTGACTTCACAGCAGAAAAGTGAATAAAGGGTCCAACTGCACAACTGTCTGAGATCACTGCAGACACACACAAAGAAACTAAAGTTTTAAAAGTTACCCCAAACTTTCACACAGCTTAGTTCAAAGGAAGGGTTTTTCTTCCATGCTCCACAGACACAACCCTGCCAGTTAAACGTTACAGCCTGCAAATATATATATATATATATATATATATATTTTAATCTAAGAGGAAAACAGCTGTACTGTTTTGGACAAGATACAAGGTGACTTTCCATTACCAGGAAAGCTTCTGGGGGTGGGGGGAAGAGGAGACAGAGATTCATGCTAAAATGCATTACAGGTCATGCAAAGCAGAAACTTCAGCACTGGCAAACTTTGAAAGTAAATATGCTGGCTAGCCAGTACTTACCTTTCTCTGATGGTGGGATAAAGACCCTGCCAGTTGGGGGCCGGGATGAGGTTGTTGTTACAGAGATTGTGCTGGTGGTGCTGCTGGACACTGGTGCTGCTGGAGCTGGCTGGTTTCTTCCGGGGGAATATATCAGCAGCCATCTTCTTCTTCTTTTTAGTCTTCAAGGTAATTATTTCATAACAAACTGGGGGCAACTTGCTGCTGCTGCCGCCGCTGCTGCTGCCACTGCTGCCGCCGCCACCAACGCCACTGCTGTTTGCTTTCTTTGAACCTTTCTTGGACCTGTTCTTTACTGTCTCTGGAAGCATCAAGAAGAAGGTGAGACATTTCATGTTCTTTTCTTTATCATCTACCATGAGTACAGGATGTCTCTTTTTAGAGCTAGATATCCCAAATTTGCTCCAACATCTAGGCAAAGAGGCTAGCCAGAGCTAAGATGTTAACAGAAACCGACAAGCTGGTATTTTGCTGCTTTTCTCAGCCAGGCAAGGTGACCTTTTCACTATGTTGAAGAGGAACTGGCTTTAAGTTTTATCCAGGACCGGATCTGTTAAATACATTCCCATCATGATTCCTGTTTTTTTTTCTTATTTGCTCATAAAAATAGCCGTTTTCTGGATCACCTGAAAAGGCTATGCTGAGCAGAGGCGGCAGGCAGCAGAGAGCTGTGGCGCTTGCTTTCTGAATTAGGTTAGCAAGATGTGCTGAGCGAGCCCAGCGAGGAGTCTGTTCCGCTGCTGTTCCGCCGGCGAAGTTGTGTGGTGAATGGATCGGAGAGAGGAGAGTAGGTATTACAGCCCTGCAGACGGAGTCAGACAGCCAGCGCTCTGAGCCAATAGCTGAAGCCACCAATCAGGATTGGACCAAGCCAAACAGTGACACCTATTGTAACATGCACAGCTCTGATATTAAAGGAACAGCAGTTACATTCTCTTTTCCACTGTATATTTAAATTAAGTAAACAGCAAATGAGATACATTTGCAAACAGGAAGGGTGGGGTTTATTTCTCTTTAGCACAGGAGCATTTTCCTTTCAACCCAAACAAGCAAAACTCATTAACAAAGAATGGGAACACATATGTCTAATCTCTCTTTCTGGCAAAAGTCTTCCTCCTAGCAGCATTTACTTGCAACTATTTTGAGCAGGATTCTCTAGTCTCTAAAGCCAAAAGGAATCAATGTACTAAAACCAAACCAAACACATTTAAGTACAGTTTTGCGGGCATGGGGAGGTCTTTTTCCAGTCTTTCTGAATGTTTTACTAAGGCCACACATCAGCTTACTTTCCAAGGTTTTCCTAGCTCTGCAATGATCTTGGACATGAGTCCCAGGTCACAAAACACTGTTAATTATGACTGAGCTTAAACCAGCATGCTTACCTGAGCTGAAGCACAGGACAGATTCTAGATATGAAAACAGCATTCAAATGAGACAAATCTGCTAATGAGGGTTTAGACACTGCAATTCACTAAACATATATCAAAAGGGGCCCTGCTCACGTCTCAAAATCCACTCAACTCTTATAGCTAAACTTAATCTTGTCATACATTTTAAATAAAATAATCCACAAGCTCTAACACAGTACCAGTAATAGGTCTATTTTAAATTATCAAAGTCTGTTAAAAGGCAAAAGGGCTCTATGCTTTAGATGGGAATAAGGCTCCACCAGCAGCTTCTAGTAAAACAGCATCTTTGGGAGCTGCTACACCTGCTTACTTATTTGTAAAGAGGGACCAGTAACTAGAGTGACTCTCACTCCTATCTACAGGATTGTTCTCATTTGCTCAGAGCCCAGAGGCTATTTGCTGCCCCTCAATAAAGTATGCTTCCAGGCCAGAACATTCACCTGAACAGTGACCACTAAGCAAATGAGAACTAGCTGTCACTGTAACCAATAGTATTACATAGCAGGATTTGGCCTTTCAGTCCCAAGCATCCTGATCACCAAGTCAGTCCAAAGAACACCATCCTCATTGTCATCATTATTCAAACTCATTTGCAAATCCACTGCAGGCATAGTGTATAAGACAAGGTTACCTATCCCCATTCTAAGCAGAGCCTAAGCAATGCTTATTTATTACAACTGGTGTATTGTCAATTGGAGAGCTAAGATACCATGCATCAGTCCCTTATGAATAACCTTCAGCTGTACTTTAAGCTAAATTTAAGAGATATAATAACCTGTTGAAGAAGTGTCTAGATGGGCTGGGGGAGATGGCTGGATGAGTAAAGTACTTGTCATGCAAAAGCAGAAACCTGAGTCTGGATCCCCAGCACAGAGAAGGAGGTGCAAAAGAGAAAAACAAAGCTATGCACAATAGCATGTACCTGTAACACTAGCTCTAGCAGTGAGTGAGGGGGTTAAGTAAAGCCGCACCAGCCAGCTAGCTTAGCCAATTGGTGAACTACAGCTAAATGAATACTCTCAAAAAAAAAAAAAAAAAAAAAAAAAAAAGATAAAAATGGCAGGGAGAGATGGGAGACATGCTGCATCATCAACCTCTGGTCTATACACACTTAAAAACCACACACAATGCACCACACACATACATACACACATCACTGGCCACACAAACACACACCATACCTAGACACACAAACACCCACATCCACTACGCAAATACATCACACCACACACAAACACCCTATGTATCATACTCACCACAACACACAAACACCCATACCTACCACACACAACACTCAAAGCACTTCATACATTATACACATTCATAACCCACACACCACAAAACACACAGACACATACCACACAAACAGCAGACACATAAATACCAATACCTACCACACAAACATCCCACCCATTCACCACACACTTTACATATACATACTCACAGGCACACTCACACACGTATTCACAGACAGACATACTCACAGGGCATCAAGGTAAAGGCACTACACAAACAAGCAGCTACTGTTTGAGTTGCCTGTCAGGAGTGGGCTGAAACAGAGGGTCTCTCTACCCGCAGCTACTGAAGTTCTCCTTCACATCTGCCTGGAAAGCCCTTCTGAGAGGCAGGCCCTTCTGGGCATAAATCCTAAACATATTTCTAACAAACCCAGTATCTGGCTTCTCAGGTCAGAACTAATCAATTAAAATGGAAAGAGAAACCAGAACTTTTGAGACAGTCCTTATTATTAGGCAAGTGAAAATGACAAAAACAGAAGTGTAAAAAACAACCCAAGAGGCTTTGTGGTCATTACAGCTAGTTCAGCAGCCACCCCAAAGAGAGACTCCAAAAATATGTCTATTCCCTCAAGGAGAAGAGGAAACATGCATGCGGTGATTTGAGAAAGTGAATTATGTAATGCTTTAGAAAATACTCATTCTGAAACTAAAGATTCCCTGGTATTTGGAAAATCAAGCTCTCTAATAAACTCAAAAAATTCGAGCAAAGTAAAAATGTGAGTGAGGAGAACTGAGTGCAGACTCGCACGTGCACACAACAGTGCTTGCTGCAGAAGGCCACTCTGTCACTCAGGCCCAGAGGCTAGTGAGGTGGCTGTTAGAATGCAGACAATGGGAAAGTCGCACACAGCTGCCTTTCCTGCTCTGGTGACAAGCAAGGCAAGCCAAACACCACTGCTAAACCTGAAGCCCCAGGGCCAGCAGCAGTATGAACCAGGAGTCTCTAAGGAAAGCAGAATCTCAACTGGATCAAACCAGAATTTAATAAGGACTTTCCCACAGTGTGTATGGCACTGAAGTCTAAGAAAGACTTCCCCAAAGATCCACGTTCAACACCCACCAGCATAAGTTGCCTTCAATTCAAATGAATGAGCAAACAACTCAAGATAATTTAATTAAGTTTGGGCCAAGAACTTAAGTCTTCTATCATGTTCTGCAATTCTTCTCTTCTTGTTAAGGGCGTGATTTTACAATAAAGGTGAGCAGCCAGGCAAATTCGGCCTATTTGTTTATCCTGATCCTTATTTACAGCAATATAAGACGTGCAGTTCTCTGGAAAAGCAACACGATGATTCAAACTTACCAAGCAGATGAACCTGCCAAACCTTAACCAACCAAGTCCACAAATCTGTCTCAGAAAGCCAGAGGTTACACTGTCAACATCAGCAACCCAGTACCAGTTCCCTTTAGGCTAAGCCTGGGAAGGTGGGGCTCTGAAATCAAGTCAGTCTTTAAGGGACTCATTTTTCTCAGTGCAACAGTGAGGTGGTTTGGGAGGGCATTTCTCCAATTGATACTTAATCCAGTTACATCACATTTTATAGTCTGACTTTGAAAAGAGCACACGTAACAGAAGAGTTTAAGTATAAAGCTCAAGAGGATGTTTTCTGTTATTCTTTATATTTTGATGTTGCTCTTGATACAGTCAATGGTACAGATGACTAGTTTAAGAGACAACTGGTTATTCTGTGAGGCACCTAAACGTAAACATCCAAGGCTCTTTTCTATTAAGAACCTTAACTAGGGACTATGGGAAGAAAACCAAAGTAAGGCCAGAGGCACTTAACAGAATGCACTTGAGATCCTTCAAACTGCATGCACCAACTGGCAGTGAGAGATGATGCTTCTGGAAAGGGAAACAGTAGCATTCATCTGTCTTTCTGAGTAATACATGATCCAGAACACAGTAAAGCAGTGGTTCTCAAATTCCTAATGTTGTTACTCTTTAATACAGTTCTTCATGTTGCGGTGACTCCCAGCCATAATTTTTTTTCTTTTCCTACTTAATAATTGTAATTTTGCTACTGTTATGAACTGTGATGTAAGTATATGGGTTTTCTGATGCTGTTAGGTGAGTGACCCCTGTGAGAGGATCATTTGACCCCCCCAAAGGGGTCTTTGCTCCACACTTTGAAAACTGCTACTGTAAATATTATGGAAAACAAACAAACCTAGTATTAATTTGAGTATCTCCATTCTCTGCTTTTTGTTGCTACTTTACTACATTAAATATGGTATCTGCCTGCCCCTTATTTAAATATAAACAGAGTCTCATTTACTCTCTCCAATCCAGGCATAGCACCTACTGTTAGGAAGGATCATCTAAAACCTCCTCCCAACTAGCATTTTCTCACATTGACTCCCTCAATTTCAGGGCTTTTTTGAGACATAGGCAATCTGCCTTAATGAGGCAACTGGGTCAGGAAGCCCTTTAACTTTTAAAGAAAGCATTCACCAAATACACCTAACAGCCCACAGTGCACTAGGAACACAAGGAGTAGAAACCAGGTCCAAAGGTGGGTTCCTATTGGTTTTATAATTGTCAGAAAGTTGGGTTACACTTATGTAGGCAGTATGGGGAAGGGAATCTTGGAAAACAGAAAAACAGTAGTCTCACTGAGAGACCTCCTGCCAGGAGTGTGATGAATTTGTAATGAAAAGTCCAAAGTAAAAGGGTTAGGGTTAGGTCGACCCATGAACTAGGAGGCAAAGTCTGCTTCCCATGTTCAGTTTGTCCCACTCAGTCTGGTGTTATCACTCACAAGGATTGCACCACACATACCTCTATTTATATACCTAATCTGCTATAAAAGAAAAATGTATGTACAGAGTTCACAAAGACAAAAGCTACAAACATACAGGGCCACACCCCTGCTGGGGCAGTTCAGGAAGGAGTGCTCAAAGGACAGGATCCAGAAAGTTCTCCAATGGGCAGCAACAGCCATGGTGAGCTTGCTGAAACCCAGGAGGTTCTCAGTACGTCCAAAGTCAGAAAACCAGCTATTCCTGGTTAACGTGGAGTTCT